GGGAAGCCATTTCAGCCTGAGGGCCCACTTACCTTTGTAGGCCACCTTCCAAGGGCTCCATGCCAGGTGGGGCTGGAGGCAAAAGTGAGCACTCAGCATAATTTTTTCCTTCGTGTGGTAGGCTGCTTTCCACGAACCTCCCTATCTTCAAGACAGGCAAGTAAGAAGAGTTCCAGGACATATTCTAGCAGGGCAAAAACACTCAAGGAGAGCACAACAAAGGCCACTGGCATATCTAACTGCCCTTCTAACTGAAAACCAAAAGCCTGAGTAAATGTTTTTGCCTGGCTCCTAAAAACAGACAATGATGGTACCAGGCGTGTTTCACACAGGGCACAAAAAGAAGCACACCAGATGATGAATGCCGTGTACTGGTTGGTTCATGGCGGGGGGGGGGGAGGTGGTACTTGAAATACTGGGATCCTGAGCCACATTCCTCTTCTTCTCATACTAGCAGTGTCTGAAAAGGTGACTCAGCGCATCAAGCATTAAGGCAGGGGTCAGCAAACTTTTTCAGCAGGGGTCCGGTTTACTGTCCCTCAGACCTTGTGGGGGGCCGGACTATATTTTTTTTGGGGGGGGGAATGAATGAATTCCTATGCCCCACAAATAACCCAGAGATGCATTTTAAATAAAAGCACACATTCTACTCATGCAAAAACGCCAGGCAGGCCCCACAAATAACCCAGAGATGCATTTTAAATAAAAGGACACATTCTACGCATGTAAAAACACGCTGATTCCCGGACCATCCACAGGCCAGGTTTGGCACCCGGGCCTGTTTGCCTACCCATGCATTAAGGCATCTCAGGCTATACCACCCCCCTTCTTGCTTTCTAATTCCTTCATAGTCAAAGTTGACACTGACCTGCTTTTAGGGTAGCCCTAGCTATATTATGGCTTGGAAAACAAGTCATTGGTTCCAGTTACACAGTGTTCTTTACCCACTTGAAATTTTGCCTTCTTCCTGTGTGAGCGACCATTTTTCAGAGATGCTCCATTGAAAAGCTTAAACACTCTGTTCCCATAGATTTGCTAAAATGGATCGGGCAATTAATGATCCACACAGTTCTTCTAAGTCCCTAATAAATTTTGTCACTTTCTCTGCAATGCAAGGAGAGGGCTATTATGCTAACTGAAAGGCATGAGCCAAAATCACACTGTGATCTCTCTTATCAATAATCTTTGGCATCTTAAATTTGCTCTAGGGTGCTTGTTGGCCATTTCACCATAAAGCACACACTAGCAATTTAGAAAATCATAAAGTGAACATTGTTCAACAACACACACACCTAAGAGTTTATTGTAGGCAGCACACACACACACTATATATATCCAGGTAGGTAGCTGTGTTGGTCTGACGCAGTCAAAATAAATTAAAAAACTGTCCAGTAGACCTTAGAGACCATTTATAGTAGATATTGTATCCTGCTCTATGAAGGCATTGTATGTTGCTTGGAAACATCTTGCTTGGACAAACATGGAAGGCATAGTATGCTGCTTGGAAGACATCTTGCTTGGAAAAACAAGGTACAAATACCAGGGGGCATATGTACGCATATGCACATCTTGTAGTAGCACATCTAGTTTGGCCCTGCCAATTCTGTACAACCGGGATTGTTATTTACACAGCACCATCAGTAGACATGGCTTGTTACAAAGGATGCTGGGATTCACACTTCCATAGCATGATCAAACAGACACAGGAGAAGCAAACTGTCTTGGTGTGGTCCAGCCCCGGTCCCAGGCAATTTTGCACCCTAGTCCAGGCTAACTACTTGCACTCCCCACCCCCACTACTCCAAAATTGCTAACATCAATTTTCAAAAACAGATGTCTTGTTGAAAAAATGAAAAGCACAAAACTTGAAACTGCTAAATTTATTTTAGCACACAAACCATTTTGAACAACTGTGTGAATTGTGATGTTAAAACAATTAGTCTTCTAAAAGTTTCAATTTCAGGCACATCAAAATCTCACTTTGTGTGCCTTTTCCTTTGATAATTTTGTCACCAATTCCTTCAAGTGAAGTGCTGATACTTGGGCATGTTCAATTCATATAGCTGCCAAGCCAACTACTTGCAAAATGTAAGTTTATATAAGTTTTAGCTTTGAGAAATTGTGTTCACCACTTGCCATTGACACTGGAAGTGTGGGAAGTATTCTTAGAGCAACAGAAACATTAGGCACATTATCCTGGAGTTTTTGTTGTAGTATAAAGAGATGTACTCCTTGGCTTAACCGATGCCTAAGTGTGATACATGGCTAGTTAGAATTTTCCAATGCTGAGTCAATGCAAAGAAATAATTACAGATCTGTTGAACCAAACTGAAGAAACTGGTTGCTTCCAAATAACATTTAGCAGCAGCATTGACTACCAAGTTTAAAGAGTGTGCATTGAAGGGCACAAAAAGGGAACATGGGTTTATGTCCAGACTCTCTTTTGTATGCCATTTTCTTTGCTTTTCATGTTACTCCCATCATCGTAACTTTGACCACACAAGGTTCTCAATTGTTAATCCCATTTGCTCAAGCTGTCCAAGAAGAGTTTCTGTCATAAAGGCACCTGTAGTCTCCTTTATAGTGGAACAAATCCCAAGAAATGTTCTCTTATGATAACCTCAGGCTCAGACATCTCATTATCTGTGGCTTGATAGCATCAACATAATATACAATCATCGTAAGTTGTTCAATGTGACTAACATCAGGTGTGCAGTCCAGAGTAGTATTTGGCTGAGTTTGCATATGCTAAGTTGTTCTGCTTTGCAACATCTACTAGAAGCTATATACCGGTAAGCTCATTTTGGATATCTTTTCCCAGGTAGCAACCATTGTTTCTTGATCTTTCCCTGTGCAAATGTTCATTTGTGATAGGATCAAAAAGGGCTAGATAATTCTACAAGTTTTTTTTAAAAGAATCCTATGCCAGCACTGTACAACTTTTCAGATGAACCACAGAATGCCAAGAAAAATACCAAGTAAACATTTTGTTTAGAACATATAACAAAAACTAATCTGTATAAAACAGTGCCCCTCAAAGGTCAGTACTGCGCCCCTCAGAGATCTGCACCCTAGATAGCTGCCTAGTTGGCCTAATGATGGCCCTGACCCTGGTGTGATCCTTTGCATGCATCTCTCACTGAATTAAATACAATTTAGCATGGATGATAGCATGTGCACAAAACCTCCTCAGCTGCAAAAGTGACTAGACAGGTCCAACTACTGCATTCTTCTCACACAAGCTCTATTCACTTGAGCAGACTTCATGCTTTATGAAAGAGAAGCTGCAACTATTAAACAGCTACACAAATGCCAAACCCTTCTCCTTCATCTCCATGAATGTGGAACAGTGCCTGCATCATGTCAAAAAAGTAGTAAGATGTGATACCAAATTGTATCCATACTCACTCAGAAGTCCCACTTCATGGAATTTGAGACCTAGAAGGGACCATGAGGGTCATCTAGTCCAACTCTCTGCAGTGCAGAAAACTTTTTGCCCAACATGGGGCTTGAACCCACAACCCTGTCTCTACAAACTGAGCTATCTCAGTACAGTGGTACCTCGGGATGCGAACGGGATCTGTTCCGGAGCCCCGTTCGCATCCTGAACGCAACGTAAGCCGCAACAGCGTGTCTGCGCGGGTCGTGTTTTGCCGCTTCCGCACATGCGCATGACGTCATTTTGAGCATCTGCGCATGCGCGAGCGGTGAAACACGGAAGTAACGTGCTCCGTTACTTCCAGGTTGCTGCAGAGTGCAACTCGAACACGCTCAACCCGAAGCACATTCAACCCAAGGTATGACTGTAGTACCAACAACAGAGTCTGGATGGCTCTGCTCAAAAGCTATGGCTTTACCACATGTCCATCCTGACCCTGTGCTTGCTCACTCTGAGGTCCCACTCCTTTCTGTCAAACTTACCCAGGGCATAACCACCACGCAGCGCAAGTAAGCAAGCAAGCAGTAAGACTTAAGGAGCCTTACATGAATCTTAAACAGCACAGCCATGCAACATAATCCTATGCATGTTTACTTGGATGTAGGTAGCACTGTATTTAATGGGGTAATACTCTCTGTTAAGTGTGCAAAGGATGCAGCCCAACTCTCCTTACTCTGCATAGCCACCTGAAATAATATCTACAGACTATTAGGCAAGGCATCCCAGTTTGGGGTTGCTAATTAAATATCATGCATTAAACATGGTTCGCATTGAGTCACACAACTTTCATGTTTCTGAGCTCTACAAATTATCAATTAACCGAGCGGTTTAGTAAAATGCCAAACGTTGCACCAGTGCAGCTGAATTTAGGAAGTGTGTTCTGAGAAGGAGAGCCATCAAGTGATTCCCAGCAGCTGGAGGGGGAAGAGGAGCAAAGGCCATCAGACGAGCTCTCTGACCCTTGATCAATGCAGCCTCCACTCCTCTTATCACGATCCCCTTATTCGATCCTGGCTGTTCTCGGCACCCAACCTTTTCTAAACTGATAAGCATATACGCTTATTCAAACTTGTTCAAAACACACGCTTTCACAACGCGCAAGACGTCCCCCGCCAGTCGTTTACAGATCCCCGCCTTGAACATTAAAAAAAACCCAAAATCAATCCACCCAAGGCGACCTTTACCCGAGCGCACCTAAAACCACTTGCCCCAAACCAGGCCACGTGACTCCCCGCCCGTCCGCCCGCCGCCTCGCTTTTGCTTTTTTAAGTCTGAGCGGCCTACGGCAATCCAATTGGCCCAAAAACTTCCAGCGCATATGGCAGCGGCGGGGGTAAGGGAGTGGATGGCGCGCGCTGATTGGAGCGCGCGGCCGGAGCGGAGTTGTAAGGCGAGCGCCGATTGGCGGAGGCGCGGCCGCATGTGTCCGGCTCGCTGTCTTTGTATACAGAGTCGCTCTCGGAGCCCCTTTAACAATGGACGGAGGGAGCCGCTCCGCCGGATGGCGACGGGCGACGAGCGCAGCTCCCGCGGGATGCCGAGCCTGAGGCTGCTGCTGCAGATCGGCGTTCGAGGCGGGGCGATGCCCGGGGAGATCCCCGAGGTGGATCTCTTGCTGGCCCGGGGGCTGTAAAGAGAGAAGTGGAGCTGGGCAAACTCCGGGTAAGTGGAGAGGAGGCGGCGGCGGGGCTGCGCGGAGCTCCGAAGGAGGAGGAGAAGGGGACTCTCCAGAGGCAAGCTCGGGCAGCAGACGGAGGAAGCGTGTCAAGCCCTTTGTTGTAGCTTCATCTGGCGCTGCGCTCTCGCTTTCCACAAGGAGGAGGAAAGTTGGCAGTTGCTGCGGGACGGTCTTGGGCGGGGAGGAGGTGGTCGGCGCTCGCTCTTCCCCGCAGCCCTTGTCGAGAGGCCAAGACGTCCTCCGCCTCCTCCGAAGCTCAGCTGGGCGCCCACCGCGCCGCCGCCCTTTAATGCAACCCCAGGCTCCCCGCTTCCCACCAGGGGGATCCGACGGGCGCGGCACCAAAAACTCCGAGCTCGATCTCTCTTGCTCTTCCTAGGATCCCCTGCGCGCCTCTCTCTCGACGTGCATTGAGTGGGATCAGCTGCGTGGCTTCAAGCGCAGCTCCCTCGGCCAGCCTCCCTCCCTGGAAAGAGAGTGGGGAGGGGATCGCGGAGTTCTCGTAGCTCGGGCGGGGGGGTGGGGTGGGTTGCCCGGTTGCTTCTAACTGGGCGCAAGCGGCGGCCCTGGAAAAGGGGTTCTGAGCCCGGGCTGCTTCCGCTCCTTCTCCTGTGCAGGCTTCGGTGCTGCTGCCGCCGCCGCCCGCTGCTGATTCCCGGCCGCCTCACCCTGTCCCATGGAGCTAGAGGGGCAGTGGTGGAAAGGACAGCTCGCTGCCGACATCCACCAAGCGCTTCGCTACAAGGTAACTCGGATCATCAGGGCAGCATCGTGTTGTACCACTTTTTCCCACTTTTTTATTTATTTTAATTGCTCCGGGTGAAGGTAGTTCTCGGGCTGCTCAGTGCTAGAATTAAGTTTGCTTCTTTTGAGTGACAGGGCGAAACAGCTGCCTGCTGCTCTTTCTCTCTGTCCTCCTCCCACCCCACATTGGGCGCATCAAACGGCTTCCTGCGTTGACTCTTTTGTCCCCAGCGTTTACATTTTGCAGGAAGGCCGTGCCTTATGGGCCGCCTGTTTACCTCCAGATGGATTTCATAGTCTTGTGTTCGTTCACAGGGCTGTTTCAGGAGCAAAGTTGCTAATATGTTCACGTGCAGGTGGGGAAACTTAACTGCATGCTTGTTGGGAATTCAGGGGGACTTGCTTCTGAGGCCCCTATGCCCTGAAAGTTAGTTGTGCTTTAAATCCATCTTGATAACCGGCCTTGTATTTCCCACTGAAGGGGGCTTGCTTCTGAGTAGATACTCATAGGGTTGCACCATAAAGCTTAGGTACATTAAATCCCATTGGTTCCGGTGGCTTTAATTCCTAAGCTGCTTTGTTCTCTCATGGGACAGGGCAACTCTTGTCAACTTTCATGTGCACCCAGCACGGTGTACCAGGGCCTCCCAGCCACTAGGAACAGTTTTTGGAGGAGACTGGGTAGAGAGGGGAAAGTTGCCAAAGCAATGTTCCTTGTACTGTATTCTGTTCATGGAAGCAAAGTTAGACTCCAAGCTGGTGTCCTAAAACTGCCTAGGATCAGACTTCACCTTTCTCTGAACTGGGGCCTAAGGTAAACATCCCAGACTGCCCACACAACTTGCTTCAGGCTGCATTATATGTCTGTGGAAGAGATGAAACTTAGATCTCGCAGATCTGTGCCTGGCTGTCTGTCTTCTGAGTCATGGTGTCTGCCAGATGTATGTATATTTGTGAGCATTTGAAACTGGACCTGTTGCTTTTGCAAAAGGAGTCTGAAATGTTCCTTCTGAGGATCAAGAAGGGTGGCTGAGTCAAAGGTTTCACATAAAGTGCTATAGAAACAAAGGGTAATATATTTTGCATTGTCTTCAAAGAGTTCATTGAAACTTTTCTTCTGCTTGATCAGCTTTCCTTTCTTAATTGAACAGCATGTGGAGATGAAACTCCTATTCAGATAGTAACTTCATTGAGGGACCTGTTTATTTTCTCTCTACTCATTCAGGAATTGTGAGGACCTGTTTAGTCTTGGCTTTTCCCAAAGTGACTCATCCTGATCAAAAAAGGCTTTATTCTACCTTCTATACAAAAGGGTTTTCCTTTTTTTGAAATAAATCATCAAGGCAACTTCAGATGCCTTGTCCCAAAGCCCGTTGCGCTGTGTGGAAGTTCAAGGCTGCTTAACTGGGCTATTGAGCCAGAGTTTCATGGGAACTACCTAAAGAATGAATAAAATGTGATAGTGGGTTGCTGGGCGGCAGAAACAACTGTGGGAGAGGCTGGGTCATAGTCGTTAAAGGGACATTAGACAGCTGGCTAGTGCTATAGATCCTAGTCGGAAATTGCCAGCCTATTAGCTCTGTTTGTCTCTTTCCCCTAGACTAGAGGCAGACTGCAATATAAATGCAGCGGTCTTCCTCAAAGGACCAGTGTGAGAACATTTCTTACTTACAAATCTTATAGGCTGCCCAACTTAAAACGTTGGGTTTCTATCTGGAATGTCTTCTTGGTTTTAGTTTTTAATAATAAACAAATGCACGTTCTCTGCTCTGGAGTTAAGAGTTGCCACCTGTTTCTGGCAGGACTCCTGTGGTTTTAAACAGGGTAGAAATTCAACAGGTGCAGTGGTTGAATTTCTGCCTTTCGTGCTACTGTTAAAGGCACATAACCCCTGCTGGAATAATGATGGCAACTCTTCTGGAATTACCAGTTAATATACTGTACTGATTCGCTTATGTTAATTTCATAAATAGTTGCCACCTATTTCTGAACCCTTTGGTGTGTGTGTAGTTGCCTCTGGTTGTACAAATGCACTCTCAGCAGTTACCACTGCTATAAATGTCAGTTGATGATGTTTAATTATAGCAGCGTTCTGAAAGAGTAAAGGTCTGGATGTGGCTGACAACTTGGGTCAATTCTCTCTTGAGGAAGGGGAGCATGCATCTTATTCTAAGCATATTTACTCAGATGTAAATACAACTGAAAGCACCAGAACTTACATATTTGTAAGTGTGCTTAGAACTGCACCCTTTCAAGCATTAATCCGTCTGAACAGCACCTTAGTCATACTCACATATAGGTCACAAACAGGAGCAGGGCTGCCCCGTTCTGTTCTACTGACAACTAAAGCATCAATTGAAACTAAACCAGTGTACTTGCCCTGGCAGCTGTTTTGAAGCATGAGTGGTTTGTGTGACTATCATCCCATTTTTCTGCTCTCTCGCCAGCTTCTTAAAGCCTTTGTTGATCCCAGTGTAAGCTAAGAAAGATAGCTGAAGTCAGATGTGCCTTCAAAAAAAAGATCCTGAAATTCTGGATTTATTCCGCAGTAAATCATTCTTTGCTGCAAACTAAATCCAAACTATTATTTGGGGATATTCCTTCTTGATTACTTTAATTATAGACTTGTCTTGTCTTCAGTGGAAGTGATTCTCTGTCGTATGTTTATTTTTAAAGCTTTGGGCTGTGATGTCTTACCTTGCTGACTGCTCTGAGTCAGGTAACTAAAGCAGTGACTCTTGCAGTTAACCCTTGACTACAAAGGATAATCGCTATCTAAGGCAGCTGAGCTGTAAAGTAAATTCAGGCCTTTGTGTGTCAAAGCATTTTATCTCTGGTTTTCCCTGTGGAAACCAAGAACACTTAGAATCATAGAATTGTAGAGTTGGAAGGGACCAACAAGGCTCATCTATTCCAACCCCCTGCAATGCAGGAATCTTTTGCCCAACATGGGACATGCACCTACAGCCCTAAGATTAAGAGTCTCATGCTCTACAGAGCCCAAATTTTTTGAGCCCTTGGATATAGTGCTGGATAAAGTTTCCCTGTTCTAGCAACACCCAATGCTCATTGTAATGATCTTTCATAACTTCCTAGACTACAGACTTGCTGGCAGTTTGTATTCTTAGCTCCAGTGAATTCTTGGGTACTTACATGCGAATAGATGGATCATAGCATCTGCTTTGTACAAACAAGTCTGGAGAGGTGATAAGTGCTGGCATGCCTGCTAGTCAGATGTGCTAATTGGCTGCCTCCCCTTGGTCCAGCTGTGAGCTGGAGATCCAGTAACCCTTTCCACCACAGAGGTGTTGTGAAAGCAATGATTATAAGGCAGATCTTGCTAATGTAATAGAAGCCCGTGTAGTGGGCTGTCCCAGCTGCTCATATGCATAGGGGTGTTACTGTTCTAGATTAGCTGAAGAAGCCTTTTGCCTTGTCTGTTATGTGAGCACTGTGACAAGTACAGTGGTACCTCAGGTTAAGTACTTAATTCGTTCTGGAGGTCCGTTCTTAACCTGAAATTGTTCTTAACCTGAAGCACCACTTTAGCTTATGGGGCTTCCTGCTGCTGCCGCACTGCCAGAGCCCATTTTCTGTTCTTATCATGAAGCAAAGTTCTTAACCTGAAGCACTATTTCTGGGTTAGCAGAGTGTGTAACCTGAAGCGTATGTAACCTGAAGCGTATGTAACCCGAGGTACCACTGTAATAGGATTGAAGGCTAAAGTAGTTTGGGTGGTGGTGGTAGGGATGGAAAGGCCTATGAACAACCCTTACATATATGGTGAGAACCGGAGAGAACAGGCAACAAAATAAGGCTGTTGTGCAAAAACTGACTCTTTTTATAATGTCTGCAGTAATAAAGTGCAGGACAACGTAAACTCATTTGTGTTACTTGGAACTGTGTGGTGTTTTGTTGCTATGTTGTAGCACCCTGCTTGTGGTTAACGCTTAGCTGGAATGAAATATTCAACGCAGCAACAGAGAAATTAAATAATAATTTATTTGTCAGACAAATAAATGAGAGGCACAGTGGTATATGATTACCAAGCTCTGGCCTGCCTCCTGCCATTATGGCCAGCACTTATATTCCCTTAATCCAGCCCCCTTTGCTCCTCCTTGGGCTGCCTCTGTCCCATCAGCCTGGTTGAAATTCCTATTGGCTGATTAGTATAACCAATCACAAAAATACACTCATATCCTCCTGTCCTTATAAGGGAGACAAAGAGCTATATATAAATGACAAATAAGTAATAATATATCTTACATGGAATCTTAATTACCAGCTCACCTCTTGCCCTATTGCCTTCTAAAACAAATGGTTAATCTTAAATTTTTATCTTAAACATATGTCAAGGATCTTGAGTTTCACATCAACATTGAAAGATATCCTTCATTTGAAGGTTTCTAAACAAATATCTGACAACTTATATATCAGAATTGCTCAGGATGGCGTCTTCTTGTCTGGCAGGGGGCTGGACTGGTGGCTGACTTAATTTCAAGATAAATACAACTCTTCTAGCATTTGTTAAATCCTTTGCATAATTACATTTAAGCCAGCATATTTAATACACAACACAGGTAGCTTCTTTAAAAGAATAAAGCCTCTTTAAAGAAGAAAAAGAACTCAGTAAAAAGGAACACAGTAAAAAAATCGTTTTAAAAGAAGCCTCTTCCCTGTTCATACTTCCCCCCCTTCTCCAGCCGGTTTGTTTTCTCTTCCAAGTGCTCTTGACCTTTTGTCCTGTGACTCAAGTTTAAGGGAGGCCCATGGTTTTATTTTACTGTTTACTCATCCCTAATTATGTAGGGTCTGTGTAACCTTGGTCTTCAGCCTGTAATTCCAGCTTTTACGACTTAATTGTACTCTACAGCATGCAAGGTCAGTGACCTGCTTCTCAGCCTTTCTATGACCGCAATAAACCAGGGGCCCTTTGCTTGCCAGCTGCTTGCTGGAGCCGCTTGCTGGTTTTCTACCTTGGAAGAAACATTATTTTTAGAA